TTATCAAATATTTTTAAAACACGTTAATATAAAAAAACACATTTAATACGTAATACGTAGTTTTTACCTTCAAAGGGTTAGGATATTTTAATATATATAATATTTATAACTAGGGTTGCCACCTTTTTGAAAAGTGAATAAATTACTATGATGCTGATAGGGGATCCGGCAGGTTATCACCTTGTATATTTCTGTACAAGTCAGGGACCTTTCAAAGATATCAAAGAGTTAAAATAGTAATACAGGAGTACAGGACATATTCCGTAAAAAAGGACATTTTAAGTTTCAAAAAGTCGCAAAGACATTTTGCTTGAAAAAACGACTGTCCTTTTCAAAAAAGGACACGTGGCAACCCTATTTATACCTACAAACAATATCATCAATTTAATTTAAGTTAGGAGTAAACATTAAAAATCTACATGATATTGGATTTAAGTCGACAAGCCTAAAAAAAAAAAAAAAAACTGGGATAATAAATGAATTATCAGACGCGAATTAACTCCACATAATTATTATAAGATGTCATTAAAATACATTGAAGCGATCCGGTATTTTAATTTTATAATATAACGAGTAAAGTTATGGAAGAAGTTAAAATAATTTTATATAAAATTAAGAGATATTTTATTTTATGATTGCATTCATTAAACTGAAACCTAGTTAGTTAATGAGTATTGGGATTTCTCAGTATAAAGATAATAATTATGCTTGAGCAATAATTTTATTATAATATATCACTATGATTATTTTCAACTAACCAGAATCAATTTATAAAACGACTTCATTTCCAGGAAATGAAAGAAACTAATTAATTAATACCTAATGATTTAATAATATTTAGTAATTAAAAAAAAACGAATTCTTCTTTTTCTCCAATAGTTCAACAAGACAATGAGACGTTGCCATATTGATTTTTATAGTTTGCAATGCATACCTAATATTTAACCAGTTATATAGGATGGTCCATCTATTGGTTAAATACGTTTCTTTATTAAACCTACACTCTTGAATATTTTTAAATGATTGTTGCTTTATTTATCTTTCGATTATTTATGAAAAACAATTTCAGTTAAGAGTTTAAAAACGAAACCATACTATTATACAGGGTGAGTCATGCAGATCAGAAAGGAGCGATCTCAGACCCATTGTTGTTAAGTAACATATTTTATTTTTGCCTTCTACAGTTACAATTTAACCCATTACTTATGACTTACCCTGTATAAACTATAACTTGAGTTATACAAAAATTCACTCATAGTAAGATCCTGTAAATTATTTACCTTGTGTAAAAGTTTCAACCCCCAGTATATAAAATAAGTCATCCAAATTATCATCTTTTGTTAACGTTGGTTGATGTGAATTATATGATGGTTACTTAAAAGCTGTTGACCAAACTGTGCCTTCAATGTTGAAGAGGGTACCTATATAATTATATCATCTGCATCACAAAAGGCTATTAGAATAATGATGCTACTTACCTTGTTAATTGTATAGTAGGAATCGCCTACTATATTCTAACGATACTAAACAAATTATTATATACCGATATAGGGTATAATTTGGGGTAAAATTATGCGTTTCAATTCATGACATATTAACACAGTTTTATTTCCTAAATTAGTTTTAATGACTACCCCTTTCTCTAAATAAATTCATATATTATATCTGAAATTGACAAAAACATGACGTGATATATTGGGATAGTTATTTATTTTTTTGTAGGTGTTTTTATGTTCATAGAACTTTTGTTTAGCATCAGAAACTTACGTTATTTAAATAAACTCCTGGACAAAATTAACGCACCACTTTAATTAATCTAAATATTTACAATATAAATACAACAGAAAACTAAGTTAGATTGAAATAATGATGAACACCTAAAAATTAGTCGAACATGACCTTTACATGACCTTAATTTGCTTATTTTTTCCATAAAAATTTGTTTTTGCTGGAAATGCATAAATAAGTTAACATAACTCCAAATTGAAAAAAGAAACAAAAATCAGCAAAAGAGAATAAATGCATCTGGGTCAACCCTAATACCGCGTAGGCGCTCCTCTACTTCTTATCACTGCATTCATGCGTCGCGGCATGCTTGATATGAAATGTTCAACAAAAGCTTGCGGTATATTCTCCCATTCTTCAATATCGACCTCTATGAGTTGGTTGTGATTAGAAACAGGGGGTCTACGACTTCGAATCCTCTTTTTAAGATAGTCCCATAGATGTTCTATAGTATTCATATTCGGACTGTTAGGTGGCAACTCTAATAAAGGAATATTAACATCATGTAAGTAACCAATAACCTGCCTAGCCCCGTGGGGACGAGCGTTGTCCTGCATGAATAAAAAATTGGGGCCAACAAACGGAGCAAAAGGCATTACATGTTCGTCAATAATGTTGTCTAAGCAATACTAGGCATTCATAGACCTCGTACGTATAGGAACCAACTCCGTACGAGCATCGAAGCAAATTCCTCCCCAAAACATTTTAGAGCCACCACCAAAATGCACTTTAGGAGAGATATTACAGCTGGCAAACCTTTCTCCTTGTCTGCGCCAGACACGCTCACGTCCATCTGGAGCTTTAAGGCTAACTCTAGTTTCATCGGAGAACAGAACCCGTTTCCAATCATTGATGGTCCAAAATTTGCCAAATTAAATCTCTGAACTTTGTGTTCTTTGGTAAGCAAGGGTTTTTTGGCTGGTCTTCTGTTTCTTAATCATGCGTCATGTAAACGTCTTCTAACCGTTCGAGACGATATAGCGATATTTCGAACATCTGCTAATTCATTTTTAAGCAGATTGCTGGTTACTCTCCTGTCCCTAAGAGCACGTTGTCTCAAAAAACGATCATCAATTTGATTAGTGCAACGTTTTCGCCCTTGTCCTGGTCTTCGATGGTACGAACCCTTTCATTATGTCACCTCACTATGCGACTGATGCTGGAATGATGTCTTCCTAACAAACCAGCAACATATCGCATTGAATATACTTCATTCAGGAGAGTCAATGCTCGCACTGAATCCTCTACTGACAGATTTCTTTGACGGTTCATTTTTTTTACTTGATATTCTCCCAAATGAACTTCCAAACATGCTCGTAATAAAAACAATTACAATCAACAGCTTGCTTCTAACAGAAACTTTGCTTTAATCAGCACTTTTTAAGAAAATAACAGTTTTAGTCTAAAACGAGGTTTAATACGAATTACTGTCAAAACAAGGTATTACGTGACACTAGTTAGCTTAAAAAACAACTTTCACTGTCAAACAAGGTCCATGGCCTACTTGTCGTACAGTAAGTTATCAATAAATAAAGATTATCTAGCAAAATATAAGTGGTGCGTTAAGTGGTGCGTTAATTTTGTCCAGGAGTTTAGACAGATTCTACGTGACATAATATAGAACATCACTGTGCAATAACTTACATTGTACCACTTAAAACCTTATAATTTTAAGCCTATGAGCTGCAAAATAATATACATAGATATTAGTAGAGGTACTTCGTATAATCAAAATCATTTATTAAACATATTTGAGAGTAGAAATCGGCCGATACCGATATCGGTAACTGCCGATATTAACGAGAGTATGCGATATCGGCCTATATCGGAATCGACCTAATAAAAATATCGATTAAATATTTCAATTGGTAAAAATTTTTTAAAGAAATTAAAACACAAGTATTAAATAAAAACTATTTAAATTATATTTCTATTTAGAATTTATAAAAAAAAATATTTAAAATTAAAAGATTAATTTTTTTTTTATATTTGAAAACAAGTTTTTGGTACGTTAAAATGCAACAAAACTTTCTGCTCATTTTGAGGTGTGACGATTTCTTATGCTTTCAGATACAGGGTAATTCATTTAGGGTAGCGACTGGCCATATCTTAGAATATCTTGAAGTAGAATTTTTTTGATAGAAACTCAAAAACAGTTCGATTTTTATTTCAAGGGAAACACTTTTCTATAGTATCCTCAAAACTGTCATATATCATTCCTCTTCCCTCCATCAATCTAACCAATACAATTTAAATAGGTAAATAAAGTAAATCACCGAAAAGGTTACTTTTCATTTTGACGCCCTCTAGCGGGATAAAAAACTATTACGTATTGTAAAGTGTGACAATTTATTTATAAGCTAATTTGATAAGTAATTTAATGCACTACATAATGTTAAGTAAATCAAAAAAAAATTAAAAAAAATTTGATGCGTCCAACACATGACTTTCCTATCTAGTTATTACAGGCTTTTTTTGGTTATTTTATACAACCTATTGTAGCACCTCTGTAAATATTTAGAGGTTAACGTAATATAAATATTTTCCACATACATCTAACTCGAAACATTTTTCTATATATACTCATTGCCAACGAAAATTCAATACCGGTTGCGGTATTAGCCAAAGGAGTAGTTGTTTTTCGAAGGGGAAACGGTTTGTATTTTATGTGATATTGGCTTTGAGCTAAATTCATTTTATTTTATTATATTTTAATCCGTTAGGCTGCAGGGCTGGCTAAGGCTCATGTTACTTTTCCCACTGTGTGGCTTTACAAAAAAAACAAACCGCGATTTTGCATGACCGACCCGTGATTCTTCTTTCCGACACAAAAAAGGAATTCACTTAATACGAATGATTACGACCGCTCGTCAACAAAAACCAAAAGGAACCCCCTAAAAATTAAATTGTAATTTTCCAAGAAATTTTTTGTAGATATTTCTTGACCCTGTACTTTAATAATATAATTTAATAAAACTTTGTCCAACTATACGTTTTACTATTTTATTGAAAATATATTTAGCGCGCATGTCCTTGGACAAAACTTTACAAATCATAACAAACCTATTCACAGGGTGTTATGTTTATTCGTAACAATATATCGGTATCGGTCACATAAAATCATATCGATCCCTATTTGAGAGTATTAATAATTGTTGTAAAAATGTTTTGAAAAATTGAAAATCATAATTAAAAAAAATATTTTTTTATTGCAGGTGAAAGTCTGGTTCCAGAACAGGCGGACAAAGCACAAACGAATGCAGCAGGAAGAAGAAGCCAAAACCAATACCGGTCAAAAATCCGGATCTCCTAATTCCCAAAACAGTTCCCAAATCAATAAATGGAAAGAAGAAACGTCGGACGAATACGGCGAGTATATAGATATGGACATGGAGGACGATTGTATAAGTGATGTAGAGAGTGAAACCTAAGTTATTTTTAGACAACTATTGATTAAATTACCAAACAACTATGTATTTATTTTCTAGATATATCCATTTTTAATAACTTTCTAAGGAATTATATATGTTTTAAAGAATATAAGAAGGTTATGAGATGTCAGCATATACGTATCTACATTTTTAAATGAATAATAATTGTGACCGGACTCTGTCTGGATTATCAAAATATCCGAATTTTCGAAAATAATCAAAAAAAGATCGTTTGAATTCATAACAAAAAAGAAAACTTAACTTTTATGTTTAAATAATTGAGCAAATAAGTAAAATCATAAACTAATATGAATTTATTCGAAGATAAATATACATGTATGTATTCACTTCAACTTTTTTTCTGTTTTACGCCGGAATTAAATTCGGATGAACGACGATCCGAATTTTTGACGTCCGAATTATGGACGCTGTACTGTATCTCTACTGTTTATTTTTTACAATTCGAATTTTTATTGCTTTAGTTTCATATTTTTAATTTCATTTACATGTATATATTATTGAAACTATTTTATTTTAGTCTATTTTTGGCCCCATACTTCAACCACTGATTCTTGCCGGTGAGTGTATAACAAACACTCACCGACTTAAAATTCGATCCATTCAAAACAATGATTTATTTTGACTAAGGACGGTATCTTACTCGCAAAAGATGAACATATCAAAATAATTCTGGCATGGATTCCAGGCCACTCTGGGATTCTGGGTAACTTCAAGGCAGATCAATTGGCAAATATAGGAAGATCTTTGAATATTCCAGTGAATATCCAATTAAACTATCATAATTTCTTTCCATTCATCAGAAACATTGTGAATTCAAGATGGCTTGAAGAATGGAATAGCCTCAAGAGTAGGAAGAATTCCTTTTATTCTAAAGTCGTTCCACAATTTGATAAAATCCCTTGGTTTTCAAATTTTCAAATGGAGACCGATGACCAAATAAAGCGCATACAACCAATGCACTGCTAGTCACTGTCTTAAACATTAACGTCCATTTAGTGAAAGTTTTGATCTAAAATTTACAGAACTAGAAACAATTAAAAATGTTCTAGCTCCACCTAGTAAATAAAAACAGGTTAATTTTCAAATACTTAAAATGAGCTAACAACTAGTTATAAACTGAGATAAAATACACTCACCGACTTAAAATTCGATCCATTCAAAATAATGATTTATTTAAAAATGCTCTAACTTTCAAATGCGGAGGCTGATTTATTTGAAGTTTTTAGCAACTTTTAGATAAAATAATGTAGTTTTAAGATTTTTATTCGGACATCTAAAAGTAATTTAGTACTCGCCGGATATATAGGGGGAAAAAGAAAACAATTTTTTTCTCTACTTTTGACACACCCTGTAGATTAATTCTGCTAGTAGATCTGCACACAATTAACTTTATCAAGAAGACTGATTTGTTTCCAACATTTTGTTTTTTTATTTACCCTTATATCTTAATTTGTTTGTGAAATGTGACGGTTTAAAGAAAATGCAACATTCTTAATTTTTTTATTCAGTTTTAGCAGAGTAATACATAATTTTATAAACAACAAATAAACTAATAATTATTACAAATAAATAACGGGTATTTTCCCCAAGAGCGCGAATAACTGACTCAATGCGTCGTGGCATACCCTCTATTAGATGTCGATTCTCCATCTGGTCAATCTGATCCCATTCTTGGACCAAAGCATCTCTCAAAAAATTTAAATTACTTAGAGAAGGAACTCGGTTATAAACTCGTCTGCCCATCATGTCCCAGACGTGGGCTACGTGATGGCCAGTTCATCTTCTGAATTTCTGTTTCGTCGAAATATTGAGATGCAATTCTCGCAATATGTGGTCGAGCGTTGTCATGCCTAAACATGAATTCGTTTCCTATAAACGAGGCAAATGGAATTACATGTGGATCTAGCACATCACGAATATATCGGTTAGCTGTAATTGCTCCGCCGCCAACAATGACTAAATCAGTACGAGCTTCCATGCTTATGCTGCCCGAAACCATTACCGATCCTCCTCCATAACTGAGTCTTGTGGAAAAATTTGCTTGGTCAAACCTTTCTCCTCTTCTTCGGTATATTCTTTCACGGCCATCAGTAGAACGTAAACAAAACCTTGACTCGTCAGAAAATAAAATCTTACTCCAGTCATCGACATTCCAATGTTGATGCTCCCTGGCAAATTGAAGACGTGCTGTTCTGTGATTCCTAAGTAACTCCGGACCAGTTGCAGGTCTTCTGGAGCGTAATCCATGTTCTCGTAATCGCCTTCAAATTATTATTTCGTTAACAGCTACTTGACGTACTTCTTCTAAACGATTTCGAGCCATGACAGCAGTAATATTTCTTTCTCGCAAAATATTTAATGTTACAAAACGATCATCTCGAACGTTTGTAGAACGTCGTCTGCCAGATCCTCTTCGTTTCGGAAAACTACCAGTTTCATTGAAACGTTGTACAGCTCTCTGGACGCTACACCTTGTAACGTCCAATATTCTAGAAGCATAATACCAAAGTATATTAACCGTTGAGTAGCGACAGCTGGGAAACCGAATTCTAGTGCGCCGACGCGAAATAGAGAGGCGAGACGTCTTCTAAAGATGTAATCAACCCCTTTCACTTTAGTCCGGCAGCTGATATAGGAATTCGTTGTTGTGGATTTATTAGTGCTCTTTTATTGTGTTTTTGTTAAGATTTTTTGGGGTTTTGTGGGGTTTTTCGTTATGCCAGGAAATGCACGTGCTATAAGTGATATATATTTTTATATTTACTACATAAGTTAAATACTCAAATATAAAACTGCCTAATGACCAAACCTTTATTATAAATGTAAACTACAAAAGAGTTTTACTTCAAATTACGTCGAGCAGTGTAAACATCACATTCAAGACCAGTTCATAATTCGAGCAGTGTTTTACTGTGTCGTTCCGTCAATAACGTCAAAAGAGAGAGAAAGAAAATTTGCACTACCCAAGATCAAAGGCACCGACACTTTATGTCGCTACTCAACGGTTAATATACTTTGATAATTCTGAGACCTACCGTCTTGTACCAGAGCAACTACTCGTGCGGCATCAGTAGGCGTTAAAACCATGATGTTATGCTGATAATGAATATTTGTTGTGCTGATAATTAAACTGCAATTGCCAAGTAACGAATATTTGAGAGTTGTCATATTGTGAGTTGGCCACAGCACTCTACTTATTTTGTAGTTTATTCTCTACCGTCATTTAAATTATGACCGTTTCTAAAATGTAGCATTTTCTTTAAACCGTCACATTTCACAAACAAATTAAGATATCGGGGTAAATAAAAAAACAAAGTGTTGGAAACAAATCAGTCTTCTTGATAAAGTTAATTGTGTGCAGATCTACTAGCAGAATTAAACTACAAGGTGTGTCAAAGTAGAGGAAAAATTGTTTTCTCTTCTCCCGTGTATACGCGAAGAGTACTAAATTACTTTTAGATGTCCGAATAATAATCTTAAAACTACAGTATTTTATCTAAAAGTTTTCTTAAAGCAGTGATAATGGAATTGTTTACCAAAGACATATTTTTGATTAGGCACTTAAGGGATAGCCATTCTCTTCTAAATCTAAGGAGGATTTCACCTGTCTCTGTCAATAAGGCTAGAATTGGGGTAGATTTCATACACCCTGTGATGATACGAAGGCTTTGGTTCTGAAGTGTATCTAACTTCTTTTGTATATCCTGGGAACACGGTATTATAATTTGGCATCCATATTCCAAGTGGGACAAAATGATTGATTTATGTAAAATTCTTAATATTTGTTGATCACATCTCCACCCAGTCCCACAGAGAGCACGCATGGCATGTAGGTTACGATTGATCTTAATATTTAAAATCATTAAAGTGAGAATTCCATTGAAGATTCTTATGAATGCTTATCCCCAGATATTTAACTTTATCCTTCCATTGAATGATTTGAGATTTATAGATGATATTAGGTAAAGTAATTTTTAGTTACCCCTTTAGTGAATAAAATTGCCGAAGTTTTATGCAATGAAAGATTAAGGTTAAGTTTTCCCAACCAAAAGGAGTTGATACGTGGAATCATATTTAGTAAAATACTTAAGTGCCCCACTCCATCATCTGAAATAAAATTAGGTTAGAATTATGATGTACAAATAATGAGGATACATCCGATGTACAAATATTTCGTGTACATACGAAGTACTGCTAGTCACGTCGAATTTTTAAATGTTTATTAAAAAAATTGAAGCTTTTAAATTCCATGACCCATAAGCAAAAATAGTCAAAGTACGATGCTAAAAAACTAGAAGCATATATATTGAACAGTTAATTTGATATTTACATGTAGAAAAAATTATCAATAATATAATAGAAACTAAAATAATAAAATGGATAACTCATGATCATTCAAAAATAACAGTAACATTTTTACAGATCGATTTTTTAAATGAAACAATGCAAAAAATGTCATTTTTGATTTCCTGGTCAGCTGATATAACTTTTGAAAAACATGGGAAAACACTATTCATAGTCAGATAGTCAGATTTTCTACGTACTTTTTCTTAACATTGTTTAATATATAAAAAAGTACACACATAATAAATTATAGTTGTTTGAAAATTTAATCAATGATTTTGTAAATATTAAATGTGCAAATTTTAAATTCGAAAAACCGGACAATTTCTTCGAATTGCAATAACCCCATTAAAGACAATTGATTTTGTGCCAATTATTGCGTGCCAAACTTTCCTTGTTATAGTGCCAATTTTCAAAGAAAAAAATGTCTTGTTGTTATACTAGTTTGAAAATTATGAAATGTAAATAGTTATTTATTTCGTTTTTACAAAATTATATATTTATTTTTTGTATATATTTAGGTGTCAAAATACTGGCGACTTTTTTTATAAAATGGAAGAAAATTGTTTAATTTAGTATCATTATTCTGGTTTAGTGCATACAATTATTTATTTCCCGTTATAATGATTTAAAAATCCAAATAAAAAAAAGTAACTTATACTAGAATAAACAAATTTCTTTCAAATGAATAAAAAGATGTAAAACTATTTTGCTGACTATCTTTATTTATCATTTCACATTTTCTAAATTAATAAATATGAGGCCTAATAATTTTATTCGTAATATTTATCATTATTCATTCAAAATTTAATTTTGTGGAAAAAATTAGGTCACCTCAATTTCAACTAAAGCATAATAATAATTTGAATTGTCATATTTTAAACAAAAACTTTTATTTCTGTGATGTTTGTATATATTTTTTTTTTACTATTTTAACGTATCTGTGGATAACAAAAATACAAAATAATGTGTGAGTCAATCGATTGATT